ATTCTGCGCTAAGCGCAGTGGGTATTATAAAAAATGCATTCTGCGCTGTACGCAGTGAGAATTATGAAAATCCATTCTGCGCTATGCGCAGTGGGTATTATAAAAAATGCATTCTGCGCTGTACGCAGTGAGAATTATGAAAATCCATTCTGCGCTTTGCGCAGTGAGTATTATTAAAATGCATTCTGCTCTGAGGTAAGTGAGTATTATGAAAATGCATTCTGCAATGAATGCAGTGAGTATGATGAAAATGCATTCTGCGTTTTACGCAGTGATTACTCTGAAAATGGATTCTGCGTTAAACGCAGTGATTACTATGAAAATTAATTGTGTGATTAAGGAGAATTATGGGTTCTTTAATTTGCTTTCGAGCGTACAATGATAAACAAGAAACGGAAGATTTCTAGCTTTAGACCTCATAGTTAGATTATTTACTATAGAGAGTAGTATAATAGGGCTACAGGCGAAGGTCTACTATAAAAACCTAACGCGCCATTAGGTGGTACCTCATGGGTGGTGTGGAAATCCACCATTCTAATATTAAAAGGTGAAATTTGAAAATTTGGCAGCATAATCATTGTAGAAAGTTGGCTATTTAAATTTGGCTTCGTGATAAACGAAGTATAGTGAGTTAATAAGCAATTTATTAATTTCCAGATTTTTTTTAAAATGGATGTGGTTGGTGTAAGTGTCGCAAATTTTCTATGATAAAGATTACAAATAATTTCAAAACAAAATAACTAAAGAAATAATTAATCACATTTTAATGAATTATATTTAAAATTTCATTTTAAAAAACTTAGGTACGATATAATATATAATTAGGAATAAAGTACATTAAGGTAAAGTGAAGTGTGAAAATTAAAAATTTGCACATGGCTTCCTCATAGAGGAAGGTTTAGGAACGAAATCTAATTTTTTTCGATATATCTTGAAAGTTTGCAAATTATAAAGTTGGACAATTCTTCCTCATTAATGAAGCGTGCAAATTTGAAATTTGGACATTTTTTAGATGTTTCTAGAAAGTCTGCAAATTAGAAATTTGCAGATTCCTTCCTCATCGAATGCGTGGGTGGGTGCGTAGGTGGGCAAAACTTTAAAAAAACCCCCATAGCAGCCTCCAGCGAAAAAATTGGAAAATTTTAAGACCGGTTGCAAGAAGATCGGTCCACAAATGCAGGAGTAGTTGCCGGTGAAACAAACAAACAATGTGATTGCGTGGGTGGGTGCGTGGGTGAGCAAAACTTAAAAAAAAACCCAAATCGTCACAATCCCCCCCAAAAAACCTCCTTATAGCAGCCTCCCCCGAAAAATTTGGAAAATTTTAATACCAAGAAAAGACTATGCAATGACACAGGATTCATTGTTATTGATCTGAAATCTAATCTGATTCATGCTTTCACTAGCTTTTGAGCCCGCGCGAAGCGCGGGCGAAAAAGCTAGTGTATGTATAATACAAAAAATTATAATATTAAAAATACAATTGTTATAAAATTAAAATCCTCGTCATTTATACACACACACACACATGTATATACATGTGTGTGTGTATATATGTATAATAGATAAGACATGCCATATAATAGATGTAAGCTTGTTGCCTTTTACTATAAATCCAAAGCTATATCATTTTTAACAAGTTTTTTCCGCACTGTCTCAAATCATTAATCCAACTGAAGCTAACAGCTGTAAAGTAGGGACTTGTGACTTCAGGATGGAAAACGCTTTTTGCAATAAATTATATTACGGCTTAGGATATAAAACAAAAGATAAAAGACTTACTATTATACATCTGTTGTACACCATGCCTGATCATGCCTGATATATTTGTAAAAACTAAAAAGTATTAATGTAATTTAATTTTAACCTAACATGTGTCCTGTGATTGTGAATTAGTCAGACCTACATTTTGTAAAAATACTGAAGCATGTTTGCCACATACATTTTCTAATGCTAATTTCATATTTTTGCAAAATGTAGGGAAATGTACCTTTGGTTTTTTCTTCACATTATTTAACTGCATATTAATAAAAGTCTGTTGCGAATTGCTTAAGGCTTGATATTTCTTAAAAAATGCATGATTTGAAAATTTTGTGGCGTATTTCAATCGTTGCTTATAACTTCGAAGATTACTCTGCAAGGCAAGATTGTATTTCCGAAGTGTTACAGTTTTATTATATAATTGTTTTGCTTTTGGCGTTAACAAGTTCTTTCTAGTGACACTTCCAAGTATATGTCTTCGAGTACATGTGGAAAGACGAGATTTCTTTGGAGTTGTTATCTGTGCATCAATGTGCTGTTCTTCTTCAATTATATCCATGTTTTCTTCATTTGATTGTATATTTTCTGTTACAATATTCTCTTCATTTGATTGTATATTTCCTGATACAATATCAATGAGCTGTTCTTCTTCAATTATACGAGTATTCACGTTCTCTTCATTTGATTGTATATTTTCAGATACAATATTGTTACTTTGAGTACTTGTCTGAGGTATATCCTCAATTGTTTTATGTGGTAAATTAAGAGTTGGTACAGCATCATGTTTCAATCGTCTGCGGTTCAAAGTATAGATATACGCAACGGAGTCGAAATGTAAATGACAAATTTTACATCTCCGAATATCTTCTTCTGATAAAAGATTTAATTCAGGCATTGATATTATATCGATCCATTTTTTCGTTTTTTTCTTACATTTGGGGAAAAAATGTCCCGGGGTCTTGGTATTTGAAGTACATTGCGGTACAACACACTTCCAACCAATTTTGCCCATTCTATAATAAAATTATAATTTTATTAGGGAAATTTCAAAATAATTTTCATTAATGCATTATATATCAGATGAAATAAATTATTCGAATAACGATGAAATAAAATATTCGAATAACGAAAAATAATGAATAGACTACTTATTTGAAGTTATTTTTAACTTCAGCATTAACATTACAAATATAATATTACTAATAAAATAATTAATAATATTACGTGGGTTGTTCGATAAGTCCGTGCAAAAATGAAGAAAACCTAATTCTTTTGGGACAAACATTTTTTACTTTTCAACATTCTTAATCTCTTATAGCTCTTGCAGACCAGCGCGACAACCAGCGACAACGTAGTATGCGACGCGCAATAATCCAATGGGCGTACAGTCTTTATAGGAAAACTGTTCGCTTTCCCATAAAATCTGTACGCTCATTGAATAATCACGCGTCGCGTTGTGCTGCCGGCAAGAGTCATCTGGCTTTGCACGGACTGGCACGGACTTACCGAACAGTCCTCGTAATAACAAAAAAATTAAATATATAGAAGCAATTGAGCCAATTGCAACTATTCTTGCCAAACATATATTTGATATAAATAATAAATAACCTAAGAGATAAACAATGTTTTAAGTTCTAACCTGTTAAGTTCTAACCTGTTATTAGGCTTCCTTCGGTGTCAATAATACAATCGTATTTTTCTTTGTACACTTTTTCACTGACACTTGTGCAAACTTGTGCTACCAAATATTACAAATATGTAATACAATTGAATACGATATAACATTTATACGTGTACTCATGATATTGAGATTGATTGAGACACAGTCGGCAGCTGTTGTCAGTTGCATCATGCGGCGCTGTTAGCGCCGCCTGGGCTAATAGACTAGATAAGCCAAACTAAAAACACGGTTTGAAAATCCATATATGAGTTGACTAACCCTGATTGCACCACAATTTCTGCACAAATCTTACTTTTGATGAAACTTTTCCGACTCGGAGTCGGGTCGAGTGAGCAAATGCAAAACACTATTAAAAATTAATAACAAAAAAAGATTTTAAACACCCGCATTTAAACAGCATGACAGATACGCACCTCGATAACCTGAAGGTGAATAGAGTAGCAAGGAGAGAGAGGCAATAGGCGGTGACTCGTCAACAGCTCTGAAAGAAA